TTGTGTCCGTTACGTTTTGTTTCAGTTCCTAATAATTGCCATTGTGAAAAACTACGATAAAATGCATTCCTTGCGATTCATAAGGATTTTTAATTCCTTTCCCTTTTTCCATCTCTTTAAACACGCAAGGCAAGTCCCGCCAATACAACTTAATATTAGTAGGAACTACTTCTATAATTGTTTCAACATGTCCGTCCCAGCAAAACATTTCAGATTTCATTGAAAACTCGGTACAATTTAACACTGTTACGAAGACTGTTGTACAACTGTAAGAGGCAACAGCGACAGTCTCAAGACAAAGGCGGCGTCAAGTAAATAGGGGCTTGATGAAAACTCAATTGGATAGCCCAGTGTGGCACTTGGCTGCGAATTGCGAGTTGCCCGAACAATGGACGGTACTTAATTTCTGTTGCACTTTGTCTTCGATTTAAGAAATACGCTCTCGTCTAATCTAATAGGAGCAACGATATCTTCAGGATGATTTACTTTTATGCGGAATACTTTAAGGGTAATTCTATCTATCAATACGAGTTGTTCATTTTTACTAGGTTACGGTAGCTTTGAACATTTAATATGTGAAATTCGATATGACGTATGTGTACATATCGCACTTCTACTACAATACTGTTGTAACTCAAAATATGTGAAATTTAAGATTATACTATTACTTTTTTTATTTTAATACCGTGACGAGGCGAACAGGTCGCGCTGATGATTTCTGAACTTTCCCTACGTCCTTATAATAAAATATTTTGTCCAATAAAACGTAAAGGAAAGAATTCGTATAGTTTGTTTGTGAAACAAAACAACAAAAGGTTTATTAACCGACTTCAAAATAAGAGGAGGTTCTCAATTCGATTGTATGTTTTTTTTGTATGTATGTTACGCGATAACTCCATTTGTGAACCGATTTTCATGATGCTTTTTTGTTGGAAAGAGGGTACCTCCACAATGGTCCCATTTAATTTTGAAGAAAATCATCCACCTCTAAGTATTAGGGTAGGGCTGTTCACGCATGAAGATTCATTTTTATAAATAGCGCCTAAATTTTATTATAAGGAGCAATTACTTTAATGGTTGATTTTGCTATTTCTCCAATTCAAGACGTTTTTCTCTCAATATACTTTGAGTAGTGAGAACCGATTTTTATTATCTCCTGTGTCAAGTTCCGTATAGTGGCGAACTAGGGGATATTTCAATAAAACTTGGCAAATAGACTTAATTCCACGTACTTTTGAGGTCAGTTTTTTTAGTACTCTGTACTGAGATTATTTGAAAAAACAAATGTACGCGATATAGATCCGTTAAAATGGTTTCATGTCCTATGTAACAATCTCAAACACCTAAGAACACGATAATTAAAATTAACATTATGTTATATTCAACAATATATTCTGTTAACAATTCTAAGTCGTAGAAAAAAAATGTGACTTTTGTCATACCGCACTGCTATTTATTACAATAGTGTTATACCTTAAAATATGTAAAATTCAAAATGGTACCATTATTGAACGTAAAATTTATAAAAAAAAAACACGTCAATAAAACTGTCTTTGGAATATTTTAAGAAACAACTAAAAGATATACTTAACTCAAAAGGAGACACGCTTTAAGCCCTGACCAAAATAGTCCTCATTCAAAAATATAAAATTGTTTTTTCTCTTTTATTTTTAAATATGTTTGGCAAGTAGGAAATTGTTTGTAAGAAACTATAACCTATACACACATTTTAATTATCTTTCACGGGAAACGAGTGACTCGTTTTTCGTCGATTCTGAAAAAGTACACTTTTCCACTTATCCACTATTATATTAACAGTGCGATATATTACCGACGCGCGATTTTCAATATTATTAATACTAATCATTCGAATGGGCAAATCGTACGCGTAAGTCGAATCTAAACACAACGCCCCTCCTGTCAATCGGTTGAATGCACGACTCGATGTCCATATCAAAATTTCTCTGTCCCTGTCACATTTACGGTATTTACCATTACCATATGTCAGAGAGGGTTAAGCAGATATGCTCTATGGAATCTATTAATTAGTAACGAATGATCATTCAGATCATTCGAATTCGAAAATTAGTGAGTTACTAATTTGTCATTCGTATTACAGGATTAGTAATTACTAACGAGTGAAATATCGATTTGCAATCGCGACTCGCTATCAAATATAAGATTTGAATTTGTACAAAAAACGCAATAAATTCTAAATGCTGCTCAAACTTGCATTATGACGTGCGGCATACCACTCGCTTTTCTGATGTGGCCCATGCCCAAAGTTATGTAATTTGATATCAATTATAATAAGTAGTAATAGATAGGCACACAATCAATATAGCACTAGGGAAATCTTGTGTTGCGGGTGCCATGGACACACACATAGACAGCCATAAATTACACCCAAACTCACTATAGAAATAAATGTAAGCCATACAAATATTTCTCCCGACCCGGGAATCGAACCTTGGACCTCCGCGTGGCAGTACATGCATGGTAACCGTTCGGCCACAGAGGCAGTTATACATATATTATATGTATAATTATAGACAGTACTTATATCTTTTTTAAAATAACCACCCAGTTTCGTTCTAACGTCTAAGTTTTCTGTGAGTTTTTCTTTTGTGTTAAGTGTTTTCAATATACAACAAAAGGGCGTTTTCGTAGCACAACATAGCAGGCTGGTAGGTGTGTTAGCGTGTAGGCGCGTAGGCGTGTAGATCCTCATGTGTAGCACACATGAGAATCGTAAAGTGGTGAGATAGCTATGCAAATCCCATAATTGCTTGGCCGGGGCGAAAAAATTGCCCGATCATGCGAGGGGTTTCTTCCTGGTTGTTTTAATAATTTTTATTTATAAGGCGTCTGTGTATTTACGGGAATTTTTTTTTATTTTTTTATTGTGACTCGGCAAAATGACTACACCGCGCCTGATGGAAAGTGCGAATACAGTCCAGAGATGAGAGTAACGGATGGAAAACACAAATATTTTCACTCCGTCACTATCATTTTGCCGGTCTGGCCAAATGCTTCTTCACACTACGTTTGAAGGACCCGATGTTATAGAGGGGAGGGAATACATGCGCCGGGAGTTGGTTCCACAACTTGATGGTTCGGCATAAAAACGAATTGCCAAACTTTTTAGTGCGGGACGGTATTGAACTGACCGTCCAGCTGTGGCAACGCAGTCCGGCACGGGTGGTCCGCTGATGGAAAGGAGAGGCAGGGATAAGGTTGAATAACTCTTCAGAGCACTCACCGTGGTACAGGCGATAGAATACGCTAAGAGACGCTATATCCTAAACCTAAAAGTGTAAAAATCTAATCACGTTGCATTTGCTACAGATTTTTATCTATGCTGCACGCTGGACTTTTGACTTTAGACCACCGTATCGTAAATTAAGTTTTAATAATGTGTAAACAACAAACGTGTAAAGTGCCCAATCCGCATTGAGTCAGCGTTGCGGACTATGGTTTAAACCCTGAAAGGAGGCACGTGCCCAATAGTGAGATGCTAAAATGGGTTGATGACGATTTAAAAAAACGTACTTAATTTAAAAGGTAGGCGCGCTGTTAAGACACTCCGAAATATTTGCCATGAAAACTTACAAAACGTATTTTAAAACTTTTTCGTATTTATTTATTTATCTAGAAGGAAGACAAACGGCTTAAAACTTAATTAAATAATAATAATAACAACGAAGAGCTATTTACAAATCTTCACAAATATAAATATAAAGAAGAACCTGGATGCACTATTTAGATAACTTATTACATAAAACAAAAAGACTACCTCATAGTTATAAGCCTCACTATGGGCCAAAGAAGTGACTACTCAGTGCTCTCCTCGTCGAAATTATCACCTAGTTACAGTAGTACACAGTACAGTAATTACAGTAGTGCTCTCCTCGTCGAAATTATCACCTAGTTACAGTTTTCATAGCATTTCTTAATACTATCCCGATCAACACGTACTATTTTTCTTATTACTCCAGTCAATAAGTGGCCATGTAAACGGTTTGGTTCACACATATTTTTTGTATGACTATGTTTACATAAAAACACGTAAGCATACCAAAGGGGCGCTTATAAAAATTGCACACAAGAATACACGTATCATTTTTCATAAAATTGGCTTTAACGCCTTTTCTTCCCCGAAGTATCGATAACTTAGATGTTTTAAGTCCAAAATATCGTCCAGGAGTAGATATTAAAGCCATGACTCGATCCAAAATAAAACCTATATAGCCTATTATATAATCCATATAATATACCGAAATAGACTAGATATCTAAATTTGTTCCTGAATTGTCTTTGAAGCAAAGATGCCCGAGCGACCGACCGAATTAAAATGCAAAAATCCCATTTCAATATTTTATTTGGTTTTTACGACAACCGTTAACCGGGAGAATAAATCCATACTTTAACTTGCAGTATTTTAAAAAGCCGATCGAAGCATTCGAGCACAGATTATCTGACTACATTCAACGTAGACCCTATATCTCCGTACTTCTAAATCTTCTACCACTTTATCTTCTATATTGGTATACCATAAGAATTGTAGCTCAGAGCTTTTCATTCACGTTAAATAGATAGCGCACAGAAATCTGAGTGGCCGTCTTCGACAATATTCGCATTCTATTGAAATGTGAAACGACGGCCGACTGGTACGAAAAAGGAAATTCGCATATTTGCATCTCTCTCCGGTTGTGAAAGGTTTAACATCATTGGTGTAAGCGAGAGAGCGCATGTCGATCAATCGTTGAATCGCCCAGACAAACAAACGGAGAAAACCAAAAGTTGACGCGACACAACTTTATATACAAATCACTTCTCACATTGTAACAATGGAATACAATAAAATATAGATTTTCTTATAAGTATATGTATTGCTGTTACATAAATGTTATATTTAAACCATTTACTCTGTGTGAATATGTTTTCTGCATTGTTTCAGGAAAATGTTCACGTGAATATTACTTTAATATTAAAATTAGTTTTTGTGTTCTTTTCAGGTTCTATTAATGACACTGGAACTGCTTGCTTTTGGGAGCGGCGCGGCGGCGCTTGCGAACTGCCCAGGCGGCTGCAACTGCAATGATGATACCCTCGTGGTAGTGTGCGAGGAGAGCCGTCTCGACGTGCTGCCCATCGCCCTCAACCCCTCCATCCAGCGACTCATCATTCGCAACAACAAAATCAAGACCATAGATAGCTCCATGCAGTTCTACACAGAACTCCAGCACTTAGACTTGTCCCAAAACCACCTCGTCAATATACCCACGAAAAGCTTCGCATACCAACGCAAGCTCCAAGAACTTCACCTCAACCACAATAAAATATCCTCGGTAACAAACACGACTTTCCAAGGACTGAATTCCTTGACAGTCCTCAATCTAAAGAGAAACTTTTTAGAGGAGCTCACCAATGGAATATTTGCCACGCTGCCTAGATTAGAAGAACTAAACCTAGGTCAGAATAGAATATCAAAAATTGAACCCAAATCTTTTGCGGGTTTATCTGCACTGAGGATTTTGTATTTGGATGACAATCAATTAAACTCAGTGCCGACAGTGTCCTTTAGTCTTTTAGGAAGTCTTGCCGAGTTGCATGTAGGCTTAAATGCATTCTCTTACTTGCCAGATGATGCCTTTGCTGGTCTTAACCGACTCGCAGTGTTAGATTTAAACGGAGCTGGACTCTCCAATATAAGTGAGAACGCATTTAGAGGACTTCCAGGATTAAGAAGTCTTAACCTGTTCGGAAATAAACTAAGCACTGTGCCAACACAACAACTTTCAGGCCTTACGAGGCTGGAAGAACTTTACATCGGACAGAACGACTTTCTCAGCTTGGAAAGCCATTCCTTCAAGGGATTAAAAAATTTAAAACTGCTTGATATAACTGGAGCAACTCAACTACAAAAAGTTGGTAAGGGTGCGCTTGAAGACAACATAAATTTGGAGACAATCGTCCTATCTAACAACAAAAAGCTGTCAGTTTTAGAAGACACTACTCTTTTAGGCCTCCCGAAACTAAAACATGTTACACTAAGAGACAATGCCTTCATATCAATAAGTGAAGCAGTTTTCGTTGGTAAGGAATTGAAACAATTGGATTTAACTGATAATCCCCTACTCTGTGACTGCCGACTCTTCTGGCTGCAGGAGCTTCTCAACGAAAAGAGTAATTTCACACAAATTCAGTGTGCCGCTCCAGAACATCTGAAAGACAAAAATTTGAGGGCCTTAAATGCTGACGATTTAGGTTGCGTAGTGCACGACAGCAGGCAGCAAACTATAATCGGCATTGTTGTTGTCGCTTGTGTAGCTATACTAGCAACCCTAGTCTTGATACTATACAGGTATAGAAAGAGCATGCAAGAGAAACTCAAAGATTACAAATGGAACAAGGGTAGGAAAAACTTAGAATACCATAAACCAATATCGACGGAAGAGGACTGCATAGTACGCGGTATCCATCCGTCCCAGTACCCGGCCCCGCCCCCGCACGCACCCGGCCTTAGGCCAATTCCGGTAACGGAACTGTAGCTAGAGCTTTACGCCTCTCCGAGCGTGTTCTTCATGTCAGGCGGCCAGGGTTCGGCCCGGCGGTCTCAACGCTCGGGAGGCGGCGCCGGCGGCGGCGGCACGCTGCCTGCGAACGGCTTCACATACATTGGAGGCGACTCGCGCCCGCACCAGCCGCTCACTCTTAACAATGGAGCGCCGGCGCACCACCAGCTCAACAACGGCTCACTACGCTCCTTGCCAGATAAAAAGAACAATCGGAATGGCGTCGTTTGTCACCCCGAAAATTTCCAACGCAACCTCGACACCCGTTATTCGAGAAAGCAGGAAAATGGGTATATGAGAAATTCAGAAACCATAATCGGCTTCCCGCGGGATAGAGAGTATGAACGCGAGCACGCGGACTACAGTGAGCCGGAGTATTCAATCATCCCGGAAAACGGGTACGGTAGGCCGATGGATGACTATCCACGCTCCTGCAGCCACTCCAACACCTTCAATTGTTGAGTGAGTGAAGCTATAAACTCTTCAATCGTTTGTGATCTTGTAATTCTAGCAATAAATCTTCATTCCATATAAGTTTTCTACGGACGGTTATTATAATGGGAGGTAGTGCTCTAGAGCGGTTAGTGATGTTAGTTTCGGGTTCGGTGTACGTACGACCAGTGAGGACTGTATTATGTATCGTATTCGGTTAAAAGAGTACCTTATTTGTAAATTATAAATTTAAGTAGGGAGGTTCTATTTTTCAATAAGATGTCGGGGAGGGAGGTAATGAAAGTGAAACTTTCATTGGACACACTCGTACAATGTACAGCTAGTCGCGTAGGGGGACGTATTTGGGGCGCTCGTAAGGACTCCCGCTACGACTATATTATTAACTATATACTTATGTACATCATAAAGCATGTGATTTGTAATTTTTTCTACCAGTGTGGTAGTTTGTATTTTTTATTTTGTACAAAAAAACCATTCCATAAGAAATCTTTTTAATGTCTAATATTTTATTTATAAATTAATAAAAGTAAGTGTGAGTTAAATAAGACACCAATATGAAGAAAGAATATTAGATTTAACGATTGTAAATATATTTATACTATATTGAAATATTTATAAAATTTAATACGATCTTGTTCTTCTAAAATTATAATAAAATTATTTCTGGATTTTAAATATTGTATGGTATATGGTTTGCTAAATCGACTGAATACGAGATTTCTTATGTCTGTCACTATTGCTATTACACTGAATTCGTATAGTGTAGGAACGCGGCACCCATTGTCTCCAATATGTACACTCTAAACCATTTCATACTGAAAATTAATATTGTATTCTTATTAATATTATCATTAAAAGAATGTCATATGCTTCTCATTACCTTGTGATAATTAATTCGTATTATCAGTTTTTTTTAATGTGAATAATACCTTATTTAAAAAACTTAGTGATCACTTAATGGTTTCAGCTTATTGCAATTCCCTGCAGGATCTTAATTGAACCACACGACATTTCCTATTAAAAACTAGAGCATTCAAATATATACATACTAATATAGTAATTATAACAGCCATAGATTTGTTAGTTATAGCGTTTCTATGAGACATGAAATGTTAGATACCTACAGCATACTAATTACAAAATAAACTACTTAATAAATATTGTATCAACTGTTGGGTTAGATATTAAAAGAGGTTTTAATAGGGCAGCTGTTTTTCAACCTGTACATTGCGTCTCACGGCTATGCCACACGGATGGAAAGTACCTTAGATACCGTGGATAGAAAATTTTGCCGCGTTACAAAATTAAAATTAAATGTTAAATTTTATGGTCTTCCTTTAATTTAAATTGCTGAGTTATTTAGAAACAATCCTTATGATTGAAGATTTCGACCAGTATAGTTACAGGTGTTTTTTTTTTCACATTTGGCGGGTTCGATTCCCGGCTCGGACAGGCGATTATTTAAAAATCTTTGAATGCAGTTCGAATTATTTTTAAAGTTTTCTTTCAGTTAAATTTTCTGTCAGTGTATTATTTTACGGTTTTTTTTTATTTTTATACGGTATTTAATGTACTTTTATACCGTATGGCATAGCTGTGGGATGCCTTGTATACCACTCTGTCAAGAAAGTACCGGGAAAAGATCAGTAATACACAAAATGTCTATTATTCATCCAAATTTATTTTATCACCTTCAAAGTATGATCCTTTAGAAACGATACACTTGCGCCAACGAATAATCCATTCATCAAAACATTTTTTAATCGCTGCTTCCGGAATTGAGTTCAGTTCTCGCCGCGAATTCTCCTTTATGTCTTCTATCGATTGAAAATGGGTGCCACGAAGTGGTAATTTGAGTTTAGGAAAAAGAAAAAGTCAGCAGGAGCCATATCTGGTGAATATGGTGGTTGTTGGATGGTATTTGTTGAGTGTTTGGTCAAAAATTCGTTCACAATGATAGCCTTGTGCGAAGGCGCATTGTCGTGGTGCAAAATCCAAGAATTTTCTGTCCACAAATCTGGCCTTTTTCGTCGAATTTGCTCTCTTAAACGCCGCATAACGCTCAAATAATATTCTTTATTTACCGTTAGACCTTCCGGTAAGAATTCAGAGTGCACAACACCGCGATAGTCAAAGAAAACAGTCAACATGACTTTGACTTTTGATCGACTTTGGCGTGGTTTTTTCGGTTTCGGTTCAGTTGGAAGGCGCCACTCCGAAGCTTGTTGACTAGTTTGCATGTCAAACTCGTAAACCCACGTCTCGTCACCGGTAACAATGCGTTTCATGAATGTTGGGTCCGAACTGACTCGTTCTAGCATGTCCTCAGCGACTTTCATGCGATTGAGTTTTTGGAGAAAATTCAGATCTTTTGGGACTAGCCGAGCAGCAACATGTTTCATACCCAAATGATTAGTTAAAATGGTACGGATCGACTCGTGAGATACAGAAAGTTCGGCGGCTATCTCTCTCAGAGTTGAATGGGGATTTTCAGTCACTATTTCTTCACTTTTGCGATGTTAACTTCAGTTGCAGACGTTGACGGCCTACCAGAGCGAGGCAAATCTTCCATCACATCTCGACCGCTTCTTAACGCTTTGAACCACTCATAAGCACGAGTTTTTGATAAAGTCGAGTCACCGTAAGCCTTCTGTAACATTTTCAGTGACTCTGAACACGAAATTCCATTGGCGATGCAAAATTTAAGACAAACTCTTTGTTCGATATTTTTGTCCATTATGAAATTCGCAATACACACTATATATGATATTACTAAAACCAGCACTGTATTTAATATAAATAACACATACAACTCAAACTCCGCGCCAAAATGGAAAACAGTTGTGCCAATCTAACAACTACAAAAAAACAAAAATTTAAATTTGGAACCATAAACAAATCATCCATTCCCGATACTTTTTTGACTGAATGTATACATATAAATATTGCTCTCCAGCAGACGTCATTATAATCAACAAATAAAATATTTATTATTTTTTAAAACATGCAACACATGAAACACCAACAATAAATTGAACCTTAATGAATTATAATATGTTATGTAGTTACAAAATCAGTCAGGTACCTAATAACATTTTTTGTCTTCTAGGAAAACACCTATTTTTGTATGTCAATAAAAATCTTCTTTCTAATTCATCACCTACACTTTGTCAAATACGATATACCTACTGAGTCTTGGTGGTGTTTTGTTCATGTAAATACTGAGAAAGTAAAGACTAAGCGTTAAGGCACTAGTGCCTAGTAATTATGCCTAAAAAGTATACAAGAAAAACGATAAATACATATGAAAAATTGTGATTAGTGGTAACTCACGACATTGTAATAGATCATTGGTCATTTCTGTACTTTATTGTAGTTATTACATACAAGCTCGATAAATATAACATACCTCAAATTAAAAATTGTTTTATTTTTATTTATGAGGAACCTCATGTACAATCCATGTATACAGGAGATGTCTATAGAAATACGCTTTTCCTAAATACAGTTAAAATATAGTAAACTCAAAAGTAGAAAGTTTCTATTAAAAAAATACTTATTACGAGTAGGTATGGGTATACAAATCAAAACTAAAGAAAGCGACATCTGTGACGCATATGGAGAAGCTCTACATCCAATTGTATTCAAACGTACAGCGCCATCTATCGCACGGGGCCAATATAAACAACGCCATCTTTCCATAGTTTCGTAAACTAAAAGAGCATTCGGTAAGAAACCAAAGTGCATAAAACCAGGGAACCATGATGCATCACGCTTATAAACGTGTAAAATTTTTAGGAACTTTGCCAAGGAAAAGGAAATTCAGAAATAAATTGTTCATTAATTTATTTATAGTATGCAACATACATTTTATACATTACAAAAGTGTTCAGCCTTGTGATGGGAGAAGCCGAAGCAGTATGCAGTGATTTTTGTAAATAAATAAAAAAATGGAGTTTTTAGGCGAGTGGTAGTTGTACATGGAATATTATGAGAGTAGTTTTACTTAAACTTTAAGATTTCAGAATTTTTCCTCCTCAAGACCATGTTTAAAGAACATCAAGATAGGTGTGGACACTCCATCAATATCTCTGTATTCCAGCATGGCCACCATGCCATCACAGTCCATAGACTCGCCAGTGAAAAACTGAAGGTCCTTAAACCTGCTAAGGTATTCCTTCATCACCTTGTTCATGTTGGTCTTGAAAATGTCTACTTGATCAGGAGACTTCTCTTCCAATCGTTGTAAAATTCTGAAAAAGAAAAAACTGTCTTAACACACATTCAAACATATTTTTTACATCTCAGAGTTACAATATAGGATTCATAGTAATGTCAGCTCTATTTCATGAACAAACATTATGAAAATGAATGTTTTTTCATTAAAGCTATTTGATTTTGCACCATTAAGCTCCACAGGATGAAATTTAGTGGTTCAGACTGTGGTGATAGATGATGCTATATAGCAAAGTAAACGGCATATGAAATAATAAATGAAGGTTGAGACCATAATCTTGAAAAGGCAGTATCGAGATATAATAATTAAACACTATCGATGAAACCTAATACTACCTTACTTCTCTTTAACAATGGGTCTACAGCGTAACTATGTTCAAAGTTATACCATAAATATTGGAATAATAAAGTTGAATTCTTAGTTCTTTTACATTACTACATTTCAATTAAGATCACAAGATAATTCACAATAAATGTGATCTTGAACTTAACACTCGATAAGGTCAACTTGACCTCACTTAGGTCAGATAAGGAAAAGCCGACATAATGCTTTCAGGCTAAAGACAGTAGCACTTCTCAACAGCACTATTCTTCCACTTTTTACACAAAAGTCATGTACAAAAAAAATTGATAGCCTCTGTGGTTGAGTCAATTGCAGACTGGATTGTCGCCATCTGTAAGATCCCGGGTTTGATTCCCTGCTGGGTTGGTGTAGAAAACCAACTTTTGTATATTGTCTCGAGTCTGGATGTGTGTGGTACCATCGTTGTTTCAGATTTCCATAACACAAGTGCTTTAACTAAATAACGGGGTCAGAGCAATGTATGTAATGTGGCCTAATTTCTATTTATTTATAAAGGCATAAACAAAGAACATAATATAATATACTATCTTAATACAAAAGAGTACATCTTTTTCATCTATTCCCCATGAATATCCAATTAATGGTTTATACTTTAACCCTAACCACAGAGAATTGCACATGATTTTTAATCATCTGATTCACTACACTTCTCTGATTCAACATCAACCAACCAATACCGAATGAGTCAGCATGGATTATAAACTTAATTATACATATATACAATGTACTCACTTCTTCATGTAGTCTTTTAGATATAATGTGTAGGATTTCTTGTCTCCAAATGCGTAAGTCTCACATAGCCTGTGATTTAACACTACGTCAACACCGCGCTCGACAGCCGAGTCAGTGCCTTCATCAGCTTCCTCCGCAGAGGGATTAAAACCCTCGATTTTGATGTCATCCTGCTGTCTGGTAACCAATTTACCGGTAACTTCGTACACGACATCATCCACCAATTTCATTTTATACGTGTCCGAGAACATCTCGTCACCTGAAAATATCACAAACCACTCTCAGTACAAGTAACTTCATTATGTACCCATCCCTGACCATCTGGATTGTCGATGTGGCACATAAACCCATGAAATCGAAAACGATATGATGAGCAGTCTCTTCAAAATGAAATGTCAAAATCACTGATATCAAAAAATGTCATTAAGTCACACAACACGGTAAATATTCACATAAAATATAATTTTGTAACACAATAAACATATTTACCAGTAATAATATCTTTATAGATCCTCATTTTGTTGGATTAGAGGCGATTAAAATAATAAAAACCGAAACTACGGCTTCAAGCCCCAAGAACTAAACCGGAAAGGGCTGTCAAAACGTAAAACGCAATGTTGCAAACTGTACTCTTCATCGAAACATCACAAAATTCATTTTCATTTTACATTTTCGTCTATTTTTTTGAAATAAATGCCATTCGCAAGATTCAAATGACGTATTCAATTTTAAAAATATATTATACATTTCCATGAAAATTATCTTACAAATCACTACATTATAAAAATGATATAATAATAACTAAACGCTCTACATAGTTCTCTTTATACGGAAGTAGGTGGCGCATAATTGTATCTGTTCTTGAACATGGAAGTGTTTCTCTACAATTCCACTGTTTGTAGATTATGTGGTGAAGAAAATGATAGTGGAACTTTATTATATTCTCCTGAAGAAAATACTCAAAATTTAAGTGAGATAATCAACACGTATTTGCCTATCAAGGTGATTTTAATTTGTGGTTGTATTGACTTCAATTTATATTTCAAGATGGCTGACTTTTCGCACAGTTATAACATTTCATTCCCTAATTGCTATAATTTTCGCCGATGTATCAGGGCACTGCGTCTATAAAATACAATTATAATTTCTGGGTTTTTAAATATTAGTATATTAATGTCATAACCTAAATTTAGATTCATCATTCCCATAACGCTAATAATACGTACTTTGGTGAGAGGATCTGGATATTTTTATCTCAATCTGGCGCCACAATTTGACAGTAATCGCCCTTTACTTGCGGTGCTGAAAAAATTGCACTATAAAAGTCAAAGATCTACAACGAGTAGGTATGTATTTCATAGGACAGCGTTATATAGAGCACTCGAATCTTCTTTGGAATTGGTATCTCGTTTAAGAGCATGAAGTAGTCTAATTCCTTCACATTCTACAAATTATGCTCTTTCAGGTATCAGATGATGGTCAGCTGCCACGCACTATTTGTCCTGGCTGTACCATTCAACTGGAGGCCACAGTAGAGTTTCTGAACCTCATCATCAATGGGCAGGTAACAAAAAATTACATTTAGTTACTCTAGGATGTACATTTCGCTTACATAAATATAATTGGACATAGTTATGCAAACTACAACCAACCCACAAAATGTCGCTTTCGAGATAATTAGATTTTTGTAAAAACAATGTGAAGTAATAAATAGGTAAGTTATTTGAGACAAACAACGTGAGTTATGTGTAGTATTGAGAATGATATAGGGAAACTAGTATGTAGCAGTAAATAGAAAACATTATGTATCTTTTTATTTAGTTAATGAGAACCATGTTCTATGTAGTTTTCGTAATGAAACGCTAAAGATCTACAGTACTTCAGTACATGTGACATAGATTCATTTAGCATATTTAAAAAAATACATTGTATGAAGTTAAGCAGCATGGTTCTTTTTAGCTATTAAAAAGTTAGTTATTTAGGGTTGGTACCCTGAAGGACTTTTATTTTCTCCGTTTTGGCTTGATATATTGCCAGGATATTTTGTGAGCGAGTAAAGGACACGTCTGGTGTTCTACCTAAATACATAAATCAATTTCACTCGAGGTGTTGGTTGGTTCTTGTTTGCATAACTATGTCCAATTACATGTTAATATTTAAATTGTTGTAAATTATAGAAAAAGAGAACGAGTTGGTATATTCAAAAGCCTTAGCCCAGTTAATTAAAAACATTCAACAGTTACCAGAGAGAAACATTTGGTTCAAAATTTATCTTGTTATTTCCAGAAAATCATTCGAGAGCTCTATCAGCGGGAAAAAGAGTACAAGAAAACAGTTTTTAAAGCACAGGAGGGCCAAGAAGATGTTAATGCTGACCACATTGTTTATGATAGTATGTATAACACCTACTCTCAATCTAGAGGTGTGTCAGTCAAATACCAAATTCAGAATACATCTCACAGGTCTTTATGTAAAGTAGACAAAGAATGCACACACTAAGGGAACCCTGTATCGCAGGTGCTATGGACACACCCACATAGACAACCACAAATTACACCCAACCTCACAAGAGAAATAAATATAGGCCAAACAAATATTTCTCCTGGCCTGGGAATCGTTCCCAGGACCTCTGCAGTAGCAGTCCAGCATGGTACCTGTTCGGCCAGGCACAGTGGCAGTTAAATGTTTGGTCATGACGTCAGTGTGCCCATGATCATGATTTTGCAATGAGCGTAGGATCACCTGGATTAGCATACATAAAATTTTAATATTATTCCATTTTATTTGTAAAAAGTGAAATGTACAAAATGCAAACATACCTTTTTTTTTTTTTTTTTTTTTTTTTTATTGTGACTCGGCAAAATGACTGCACCGCGCCTGATGGAAAGTGCGAATACAGTCCAGAGATGAGAGTAACGGATGGAAAACACAAATATCTTCACTCCGTCACTATCATTTTGCCGGTCTGGCCAAATGCTTCTTCACACTACGTTTGAAGGACCCGATGTTATAGAGGGGAGGGAATACATGCGCCGGGAGTTGGTTCCACAATTTGATGGTTCACCTTTTTATTTTTTAGCAAATTTATTCAATAAAAACAGATATTAAAGATTATATTAAAGATCTTAAAGGTCAGCACTAGGCTTGGTTCATAGAGAAACTGGGATTTACAAGAGAATTTGTCTTACTTAAAAAAAACTCCAGCTGTCTATAGTGTCTGGCAAAAGAGTTCCCATAATACTGGCATTATTACCATGCTGGATGGCAATGGATACTGGCTGAACCAACTACAACCTAGAATGGTGATAACAATCTAAAAACACTATTAATCAGTTTCAGTGAACAGTAATGATGGCATCTACCATGAAGAGCATCCTATTTCCTTGCAAGTGTCTGGGCTGGAAAGGCCCAAGCGCAAACGTGGCCGCCCACCCAAGAAGCCGAAGTCTCCAGAGGAGATTGCAAAGGAAACTGCGGCCAGGGAATCGGAACTGGCTGCTAAAGAACAGGAAAATAAGGAAGAGGTACCTGGGAAGAGAAGGAGAAAAACTCCAAACAGATTCAAAGAAGCTGTGCAGGTAATTTTTCTATTATGGTTGTTCGGCTGACTTTGGTACTCCAAGCAACAGAGGTGTATATCACTATGGGCCTCACAATTACCTTATATAACCTGAGATTATTCATCTTTGGTATTAGATGCCAACACAGTCCTACCATAAGAATATATCCCTAGATATTTGACTTCTGCGGAAAAACCCACAGCCCTGCCACCAAGGATCAGTTCCACTAACTTGTCTAGTTTCCGTCTCCTAATGAAGGGGACAATTATTGTCTTTTCTGCATTAATAAATGATAATTCGTTATATTGACACCATGCGGAAATGGTGTCAAATGCTCCTTGCATAAGTGATGATATAGTACTTTAACAGTGCCCTCGGAACTGTGATCACTAGGTCATCTTCATATCCCTGAGCATCAATATTCAGTTCGGCCAAACCTATACGGGATCTGACCCACAACAAGAGTCCACAGGAGAAGAGAAATGGAGGCCACAAGCCAGTCCCCATGTTATTGTATATTATTGTAATAATCAACACCTGAACAAGAGCATTAACCTTGACAAAAATGTAATAACTGCCATCTGTTGGCCTTTCAGAATATTATTACAATAGCATCGTGGGTTTACTTGGTACCATCTAGTGATCAACGGTAAGAATCAAAAGCGATCGAATAAGTGGAGTTACGAGTGCTACACTTCTTTATATGAAGTTGGCTATCTGTACTATAGTCCATTTGTTTAGGTACTTAACTAAACGTAAACAATCTTGATACATCTTTTTATTGAAACATAAGCTTTACAAATCAATAGGTATAAAAATAGGCATGCAATTTCATATGAAGCTAAGTATTTGTATTTTGTATTTGAAGGTAAGGGAAAATCATTTTATAAATGTATATTTCATTAAATAGACATCTCAAGATTGTTTACATTTAGTTAAGTACCTAAACAGATGGACTATAGTATAGTATTGTCTACTGAGTACAACACAAGTCTTTATGAAACTAGACTTCCCCTCTCTCTGTGTCTAAAATTATATTTTGCTACATGTAGGCATTGACGCGTCAAACAGGCGGGGCTTGGGCTACTAGTTTTATTATACTATGTTTACATGTTAGTTTTTCTCGAGTATTTGTCTGATTCGTGATTATCGTTGTTTATTTCAGGGCAAAGAATTGGAAAGGATATTCAAAGAGGAAGGCGTGACCGATGGAGACGACAGCGAGAACGAAACGAAGCCAGAAACCGACGTTGAGACGAAGCTAATGGTGCCCAAGGAGCCCGAGATTATAGGTCATATGGAGACTTCGGGAGAGCTTGTCGTTGTTGTCAAGGGAAAGGGACGAGGAAGACCGAAAGGTTGGTCTCCACTATTAAAGAACAGTTATTAATTATTTTTCCTTAGCAGGTGTGAAGGACTATGGTGCAATACTGAAGACATTGCTATTTATTTATTTTTTATGGTTGGTCTGTACAATACGTCTAGGGGAAGTCTTCTTTTCTCATTTACTGAATCAGCGTGGCTAGCTATTGGATTATTTCCGTTATTGCAATTGACATCCAATGCCTATTTTCTTAATTATTTTACCCCTACTCCAATATGGTTTCCGGTTCACAAAACATTTGAGCCACACGTCGTCGTTATCGCAAAACGTACGCGCTTGTCTACCGACTTGCACTGGCGGCGAGGGATGCGCGCCGACAAGTTTTTCCTAGCGGTGGTACTATGAGATCTAATCTCGAACGTAACTCACGCATACACATCATCTTAGCCGGCATTACTCCTGTACTACAGTGTACTTCTGTACGATATTCAAACAAGTAACTCTGCGACGTATGACTTAATCGACTCGTACATTTTGATTCTTGTTCTATAATCGATTTAATAATTTTTTTACAATTTCGTACTGCACATTCTGCTAAACCATTGCGTATTGGGTGGTATATAGGGGAAGTTACATAATTAATACCACTCTTTTGACAAAATTGTATGAATTCATGAGAAGCAATCTTAGCATCATTATCTGACACTATGGTTTCTGGTAACCCGAATCTCCAAAACAGCAACATTAATTCAGTTCTTAATTGTTTAGTTGTACCGCCTGTCTTGTCTATACATTCCGCCCACTTACTGAACGCGTCTACCACAACCAAATACGTTCTTTGAGCTACCATCACGTAGTCGATGTGAATACGATGTCACGGTCCGGGCAGCCGGCTCCAGCTGGCGGGTGCGGCCCGCACCGCGCTGCATACAGTGCAGGCGCCGATCAGCTGTTCAATGTCCCAGTCTATAACAGGCCACCACATGCGTGTTCGAGCATTGCTTTTAGTTTTAACTATGCCTAGATGAGAGTTATGCAACTCTTGCAATAATCTACTTCTTAATAATTTAGGTAATATAGGTTAATTATAACACGATGACCTCTCATTGCACATCCCTTTTCTATTTCTAAATCATTCCTATAACGAAAATACTAACCGATGTTAGTACATTGAACCCTGCGCGGCCAATCTAGTTGAACATATTTTGATACCGTTGCTAAAGTTTTATCTGTCACCGTTTCGTTCTGGATGTCCCTGTAGGTTAACGGGGACAGATTCCCGAGTTGCAGCGCGTTAACAGTTAGTAAGTTGCATTGTTTTTGTGACGACGACGCAGCCGTAATGTTACCCACCGGCATCACCGGACACGCGCGTGAGAAGTAATCGGCAACTAGCTTCTCGCTGCCCGAAATGCACTGGATGACGTAGTTATACGCGGAAAGACATGTGGCGTACCTCACTAATCGGGTCATTACCGAAATACCATTCTTTTCCCCAAAAATTGCTAATAACGGTTTGTGATCTGTTTTCAATATAAATGGCTCCGAGCGGTCATACAAGTATTGATGGAATCGTCTTATACCAAACACTATCGCTGTCGCTTCCTTATGTAGCTGACTTTAGCTTCGCTCGCTGGCAATCAGCGCAAGCGAGCCATAAGCGAGTGGGCGCTCAACTCCATCTGCGTCCACCTGCGAGAGCACGGGGCCGAGCCCGGCCGGGCGCTGGGCTCAAAATGTGCCTGCACGCGTTCGGACGCTATCTCTCGCTTCATCTGCTCAAAAGCGCCTCGTGTCGCGTGGTCCACTCCCACTCCGCATCTGGGCGTAATAATTCGTGGAGTGGACATAGTATACTCGACGCTACGAAATTTCGGTAATAATTCACCAACCCTAGGAAACTCTTAAGTTCCTTTATATTGTTAGGCCGAGGCGCCTTTATTATAGCGTCTACCTTTTTAGGGCACTTGTACAAGCCTTTCTTATCAATAATATGACCTAAAGACGTAACGCTGTCTTGGAAAAACGTATTTATTCTTTTGAAGTCGCATTCCGGCCTGGAACACCGCGAGTGCATTCGCGAGCCCAAAGTCTAGGCGTGTGTACATAAATATACCTTTTGTAGTATTGATTGTAGTCAGCTTTTCAGCTTCTTTTGTAAGAAGCAATTGGTTATAGGCTTGACTGCAGTCTAATTTCGAATAATGCTTCCCGCCACTAAATTTTTAACTGCCTCCGTGGTCGAACGGTTATCATGCCGGACTGCCACGCAGCGGTCCCAGGTTCGATTCCCGGGCCGGGAGAAATGTTTGTATGGCCTACATTTATTTCTCTCGTGAGTTTGGGTGTAATTTGTGGTTGTCTATGTGTGTGTCCATGGCACTCGCGACACAGGGTTTCCCTAGTGCGAGGTTATGTTGAGTGTGTGCGTTATTTATTTATTTGATTTTCCGATTTAAATTTATTTGAAATTTGAACATTTGCGCCTTTCTGAACGACGTAGAACGTTAATTGTTTTATCATGTTACGATAAGTTACATTTGCCGCAAATCTACCTTTAACCTAACACCTAACACTGCTTTCTTCTTTGCCTCTGTGTCGATTGAGTTTAACCCTAAAACCTGCTTGAACCGTCTGGCAAATATTTGCTAATCTTGAGTATTAGGGTCCAAATTGGAAACACTGCCTAAAAATCCGTCATTTTTGTTATTATTTTTTTTATTGCGTGAGTATGATACAGCCTCGATCGCCACTGATACGTATGGGCGTAGCAATGAAACAAGCGAATGCGACGGAAGCTAGTTTATTACTGACTGACTTAGGTGACACGCATACACATCAGTGGTACGGGTGCGGTGGCGTTAGTCGTTAATTTCTAGATGATGAAAAGTATGAGTAGAGCGTGTAAGAGCCGTTGTGCGCAGGGCGCATGCGGCCCACGCGCTCTTTGTGCGCCATCTGCGGCGCGGAGTTCTCGTGCGTGGGCCGCTACATGTCGCACGTGGCGCAGCACGGGCCCGTGCTGTACCGCTGCGCCTGCGCCGCCACCTTCGCCACGCGCGTGGCCTTCACGCAGCACCAGCTGGACTCCGCGCACCAGGGCCAGACCGTCATCGCCTGCGCCGCGCCCGTAGTGAGTCTCCTCTACTGCGCCTCTCTCGCCGCGTCAACGTTGGCCGAATGTCACGTGTCGCGCGTTCCAGGGCGCCCCGGCCGACACGGACGAAGCGCCCGAGCCCGCCGGGCGGGACCCGCTCCTGCTGCCGCCGGACCTCCCGGAGGTCCCGATGACGGCCCTGCCCGATCTCGGCGACAAGGCCAAGGACGACACCGCCGAATTCATCAAAAGCTTGGTTTCGGAGAAGGAGCCGGCGTCTAGTGAAGTCAGCTCCGGTCTTGAAGAGGAATCGAAGAATGACGGTAACATTATTTGTGGCCGCTTTTCAATAGTTTCAGTACCTTAACAGAAAAAAATAAAATATTTTTTTATGATTACCAAGTGACGGGATGACTGTGACGAGTGCCGCTCGGAGCTTTGAATCGCAAAGATCTGAGAGGCATTGCCTCTGCATATTCTTCTTCCCTAAGACATAAATTGACAGAATCCATGTGCCCGTACTTTCTCCATCACCTTTACCCTTCAAAACCGGAACGCAGTAATAACATTACTGCTTGGTTACAGAAATATGTTGATAGTACTTTAACTCTACTTTAAACTCTGCCACAAGGAGCTTTACTGCTACTAAGACAGTTTAAGAAAAATGTTAACCCAGAAAAAATTAAACAGTTTGTTGTGTTGATCTTTAAACATATCGTCGGTGTTTTGTAGCAAAGACGAAAGCACCATTTCGAAAAATATTTCAGAAGAGCATGTTTTACGTTTGCACGACTTTTTAAAAATATTTTCGTTCCCTTTTAAACTCAATTTTTAAAACTAAACTTGATTAAAACCAAAACTGGATTTTATATTGCAGTTTTTTTCTATCGCTTTCGCCTTTCTACTAAACACCGACGATATGAAGATTTCGCAGTTACGCACAATCAGAGATCAAAATTCTTTATTGAAATTGTACTTCGTTACGTAGAAACAGGAAAAAATAATAATTTTATTAATAATAGTTTGTAATAATTTCAGAGAAAGCAGAAGAGACAGTGGATGACAGTACAGAAGTAATCGACCCCAAGGGTAAAGTGAAACTGAAGTGTCCTCACTGTGATAAGATGTTCAGTAGTAAACAGAGCAAGTCTATGCATATCAAGGTAAATGCCATATTCATTCATACTCTGCCATGAGTCCAATGCGAGGACTTTTTTAATTATCTTTTCATCACACTTGCTCGTAAACAGTGTCAAAGCAATCAAAGTCGACCGTAATGCCCCAAATTCTACCCGCGGGCTTTTTCATTATATAATCGCTCAATGGGTTTTTTACGTCAAGATTATGCAAAAAGTTTTTATGCTCGAAATTGCGCATAAACTTCAACTTGAAATTTCAAATCCTGTTCGTTTACTAATGGACTAATAGATTACATTTATTAATGGACTTCAGAAATTGAAAAACTGAATTGGTTCCGAAATATATGGGATTCAACTCTTGGCAGTGAATGTCAGGATGACGATCGAGGTAGCCAATGATAAAAATATTCACACTGGAAGGGTAAAACGTCTAACGTGCATTCCGAAAATATTACATAAGAGCGATTTAAAGTATTTTTTTAATCATCTAATTCTGTTCACAAAACCGGAGTTAAAGTGTTATATACATACAAAAAAATACAGTCGAATTGAACCTCCTACTTTGTTTTGAAGTCGGTTAAAAATTTGCAATAAGTGCCGTCTACTTGATTTGTACGTTCTTACTAGAAATTAAAATAGCTTTGATAAATCGCAGCTCGTCAATGTAAAACAAATATTTACAAAAATAGTTGCTTGGTACTCGTCGCGACATCTGGTCCACCTGCCCCCGTAGCATAGTTATGCATAACAGTCGCGACGCGCGCGATAAAATTGAAATAAGCGCGCGCCATTGGCTATCTAAATTAGATCTGATTGACACAGCCAACAGCGCGCGCTTATCTCAATTTTATCGCGCGCGTCGCGACTATCATGCGTAGCCATACGCATGCTACGGGGACTTGTAATAAATACTGCTTGTAATAAATTAAGTGACAAAAGGTCACATATCCGTTTTAAATAGCAAAAGATAAAGCGCAAAATTATCTTTTAAAAACAGTTAAAATAAATTTATGTGTTCGACTTGTCGGAACTTACCCTAAGCATGCATAGCTGAATTATCATATCATTAAACAATTTCACTATCCTATAACTGGGTTGTGGTTTTTTATGATATCTCAAGAAATGATTTAGCCAGTTAGCCGCGTTGTAGTCAGTGGACGGCAGAATAGCTGCCTTCGCTGCCGTGTGCCGCGGCTAGCAGTGGCGCGTGCGAGCCGCAGCGTCGTTGAGCCTGCAGGGCGTGTTGCAGGCCGTGCACCAGGGCGAGAAGCCGTACGTGTGCGGCGAGTGCGGCGTGCGTTTCGCCTACCCGCGCTCGCTGGCGCTGCACGCGCTGTCGCACCGGCGCCAACGCGCGCCGCACGCGCGCCGCTTCGCCTGCGACCTCTGCGGAAAGGTGCCTCTCTCGCTGCCCTCCGTCCAATACTCAATACTCATTATACACTCCCGGACACGTCATTCGGGCCACCACGCATTTTCAGTATTAAGCCTAAGCTTAAACAATGTTTCATTGATCAAAAACTATTATGCAATTTTGAAACTAGTATACCAAAAGTTTTTTCTATAAGTCCTTGTTGGGAATTTTGATTTGCAAAAGCGGGGAAAACTTTTTCTTCGATAATAATAATTTTATATAAAAATTTTAATAAAAAAATAAAAATTTAATTAATTTTTGTATTCTACCCCTTTACGACTCGAATTATGTGTTCGGGAGTTTATTTATTGCATTCGTGTGGTACATGTCTTTAAAATTGAAATAACGCTGCACATATGGGCCCTTTATTAGGGATAACAATAAGAACAGAGGTAGGCCGAGGTTTCAATTATTAATTAGAATTGTTATTTATGAAATAATATAGGTCACTTGAAAGTTTGAATATAATTAGATTGCAATAGCATAACTTTATAGTATATAATTAGGATTTATTTATTATTCAGATTTATTATAATATTATTATTTTTATTTGTCATCAAAGTATTCATTTAATTTGTAGTAACATTTATTAATAAGATGTAATTTTAATTTGTTTTTAATTTCGTCCTCCGTCTCGATGTTCGAGTATCAGTACCACTTACGCCAGTCGCAACAGAGTTCTCGAATCTCCCCGCGCTTCTCTCGGCTAAAGAAAAAAGACCCCTGTCTTTTCAATTTTCTTCACAACACCCGAATTGAACCTTAATCTTTCGTATTGGAAACCGAACCGAAATGGCGTCACACCCGTACGATTACTCGAACTTCTCTATATAAGGTTACGAACGTTTTTCAGAACACAGTTATCAAATGAAAGTTACCGAACGTCCTATTGTTTACAAAGCGAGAATGTAATATGGAAATATCTTATTATTTTAAGTAAAGTTTGGATTTTTTCGACTTTATTAATTTATTTTAATGTATTCCTATATTTTAGGCCTTTAAAGTTGTGCCGTTAACACACGTTGCACTGCAGGATGTATGTAAATGCAAGTAGGACGATGCAAGGAGATAGAGAGATGCAAATTGCAATGCAAATGATTGGAGTATTATTAACTAATGTAAATAAAACGACCGTGTCCGAACGAGACAATAATAACACTCATTTATTGCAAAATATACATCGATCACCGTGGTGTTGTAGTAAGCATAAATTGAATACTTATATCGTGCGGGTTTACTTGTGCATATTAAAATAACAAATGTAAATAAAAAAAAATGTACGGTTTCACTCGTACAGAAGTCTTAAAAATGTATATAAAAGGATTAGATTAGATGGAACTTGTCAACTTATGTCTAAGGGGCACGGCGAAGTGGCAGTGCCCCGCAGACCTTTGCGGTTTAAGAATCTTAATGGCACTGCAACTACTATGAACAGGCATGTCGCTTACCATCAGGCGCATGACTTGCTCGTTCCATCACTTGATATCATTAAAAAAAACTCTTCAAGCTAATTGTAGGCATTGATGCGCCGAGCAGGTGGGAGTTGCCCTACTTCTCTTATTATACTATGTTAGAAATCTCGCTGTTATGAATTTGATCAGGTCCTTTACCTTTTAAAATGAAAGTTTCCTAAATGTATACCCAAATGTTCATTTTACCCTCTCTCTTACTCCAGGTGTTGAACCACCCGTCATCGGTGGTGTACCACAAGGAGGCGGAACACGCCGGCCAGCGCTACGTGTGCAATAAATGCGGCAAAAGCTTCAAACATAAGCAGCTGTTGCAGCGTCACCAGCTTGTGCACTCGCAGCTAAGGCCCTATTCCTGCAAGGTAAGTCATTTAAGAAATAATGAACATGCCTTTTCATTTTACTTGAAAAAAATAACTGCAAGTGCACCTTAAACTCATGAATTTACGTTTGAGACTTGATACACTCTCAACAGTTCAGTGCATCTACCATGAGATGACAGTGACAGTAATCGCTAGCGACTGCATAAAATTTGTATACAAAATATTGCTTCTTCTTTGTTCCGCTAGGGGCGCTGTATAATTAGCCATATAAAATTGTGAAGAAGCTGTCGCAGTGAACTCGTAGAGGTGCAGATGAATCTATAATGAATCTAACTATAATGGTATCCAAACTTCCAAAAGCCTGGGAAAACCACTCGAAATTGAAATCAACACCAAGTACGAGCATATAAAAGCCACTTGCATTGGCACCACACCCACCAGAGTAAATCTGACCCTGACAAGCCGGATTATCAGGGGACACAAATGTGGTGGGAAAGTCCAACCACCCGCAGCCGGTGGCCAGATTCCTGCCGGCTATGCAGCGTGTAACAAAAATCATCCGCATAAGGCCCATATTAATAAACTAGTTTGTAACTCTGAATCCTATTTGCATCTCGAGATCTCCTGTATTAATAGATTAAAATCATCGATATATTGGATGGTACTATAATAGAGGGCTGTAGCTCAGATGCATTGCGAGAGGTACTTTTAATAATATAAAAACCGGGATTAACTTAAACTTTGGTTTATTTTACCATTTTCATGTCTAGGGTTACGAAACAATGATCTTAATATCATATGTCAAGATCCTTCCTTATTTTCTTAGCGTTCCAAATACAAACTATAATCACTACCTATGTTCAGCCAGCAATCCTACTCAAAGAGTACAGCCTAGTCTACATCCCTCTTCCTCACAGCTGAAGGGGTGAATATCCCTAGCTGATGGTCTACCTATGATAGGCAACTTACATCTGCGATCAGCCTTTACTACAGGCTAGCCACACACTGCTCGGAAGTCACTAACTTACCAACAAGTAAACCACCGAGGAGGCTATGGCTTTGGTCTGCCAAAAACCTATCTAAAAGGACAGACCATGATCACATCCTAAACAAACAAATCAAAATATTTTCACTAGTTAGCTATCCTATCTAATTAGGGAACCTGACTAAACCCTAACACTTTATTTTAGCGACCCTAAACTGGCTGAACGATCCTAATAAAAATTCTAAACATCACTACAAGTTCCTAACTATCTCAGCCTAAGCTATCTCCAACGTGCATGCTGCCACAACGACGACACAGGCTTGAACATCCATCGGACGATCACTGGGTTACATCACTATTGATCTCCCAGCTGCCTTAGTCCTCATTTTGCAGCTATCACGTTCCATCAGCTTCACTTGCTATCTTTAACCAAACAAAAACCAACCCACGTATAACGTCAACAACATATTCTAACTACATGTCCTAAGACATACATATGGTATGAGGGTATACCACATGAAGAATTTCTAATAATTAAATAAATATATTTTCCCAGAATGCAGACAGTCCTTGATCAACTGGAGGGATGAGCAGGAACTATTCGCACATACAGGATAATATATCTATCAAATTAAAAAAATATATATAAGAAAAACAAAAGTAAATGTTATCTATTTGATGGTGTATCTTCTCCTCCCTTCCTTCCAAGTCTGCATGTACAGGAAAATATTAATTTTTCTCCAAATATTTCTCATAACGTCAGTGTGGTTCCACATGAAAAATAAATATAAAAAATTAATTAACCTAGTAGAAACAAACACATTAAATTCCCTCTTATAGAACTTTTTCATCCTATTCACATGGAGTAGATTCTGCCTACCCAACCTATTCCTATTCATACTTAATCTGCACATAATACAATTAATCCTACTCAACCAATTCACTACCCTAAGCTTCGCGTAACATACCTCTTAGATAAAGCAACTCTGTTTTTCTTGTCAAACATTCGCTTTTGCTTTAATTGTAAATCATCTACATATTCCTTACGAGAACTCATCGAAGCTGCTCGTTTTACGTAGTCACTTCGCAAATTCGCCACATTACTTACGCGAACACGATTAGAAATGTCGCTTTTCGAATTGTATTTTATATATATTTTCGGCAAATCATAATTATAATTATTTATATCTAAATCCCGTTTTTGACGCAATTGACACGTCTTATCACTCACGTCAACATTACTTATCATCTCTGGCAAAACCGAGAAGCTATCTAAACTTTTTGCTACGGTTTTCAAAGGAGACTTTTCTTTCTTTGGTCCAATATCTACCATGGACTTAGAAGAAGAAATTTTATTGTCAATTTCCACTTTTGACAACTCGAAACTATAGTTTTTCAAAATATCTTGGCCTATAATTAAATATTCTTTAAAATCGTCTACAACCAGCAACTTCGAAGGATAATCCTTCCCATTAATCATCAACGACACCTTGGTGGACGACCGCACATTTATTGGCGTTGCACCCACTATACGTAATGGAAAACTTGGACTATCATCGATACGCAACTGTAACTTCTCTACAAAACAACGAGAAATTATGGAAACTGAAGCATTAGTATCCACCAACGCCTCGCAACATACATCATTAATAAAAACAGATATAAAAGGTGCCCTATCTACACTAGAACTATCAATTGTAGACAAATTTTCTACATGTTCAGTTGCACTTTTCTGACAACTACGTTGAGGAGATCCCGGCGAAGATCCACTACTATGTGCTCGTGAATACCCTTGACATGGCGTATCCTGATGCACGACTGGTGCTTGTGGCACTAAATATTCCGACTTCTTAGACTCGGGTCTAATTATCGGTGCAGAGTCACCCTGTGTTTGCCAACAGTAAGAGTGCTCCAAGTGACAAACTACTGGCAATTCAATATCTTGTCTCACGTTATAGCTGTGATTAAATACATCATCTACTTGTGTAATTGTTTTTCTCAACTCCTCTTTAGATAAATACAAATTACTAGCCAGCATCCATTTAAAATTGGGTATCAAAGATTTCAAAAAATGCTTCACAAACTGAACATCTTGAATATTCGCTTTCATCGCTAACTCATCTAGACTATAAAAATAACTTATCAGCGATTCATTAGGCCCCTGTCGCCTATAATAAAATTCACGTGCGTAATCTATTTGTGAGGGAAATTCCTCTCTCAACTTCTGTGCAATCACATCATACGTCATGTATGAAGAAAAATACGTTTTGTACCATTGTAGAGCTGGCCCCTCCAAATACAATGCAAACACGTATTTCTTCTGCACATCAGACCAATTATTTAATATACTAATGGTCTCAAATTGGTTTAAAAACTCGTCAACGTCGTTGAATCCATTGAATCGCTGTACCGACATACCATACATATTTTCCCTTCGCACTTTTCACTGACACCAATTATAAAACAATATTAAATAAGTAAAAAATATAAATTACGACCTTCTGTTACGCTTTCCTGGTGGTTTTGTCGTAACAACATATAAACATTTTTCCACGATGGACTTTTCTTCATCGGAATCCTTTCTTCATTAGTAAGCTTGCGTCTAACTTTTGCAGGCTTGAATTACATTATATTTCTTCTTCCATTCGTAGATTTTTCAAAATAAAAATATAAAAAATTTTCACTTCGGGGTTCCCTTCATTGGAACTTTTCCATCATTCGCAACACAAGCTTTTGTGTTGTGTTGTGTTCTTCATCACCATCATATTGGGATTCGTGCGTCCACCATTTATAATAGAGTCCGCGCCTCCACCATTTATAATAGAGTCCGCGCCTCCACCATTTATAATAGAGGGCTGTAGCTCAGATGCATTGCGAGAGGTACTTTTAA